CGAGGCGCCGCTGGACGCCTCGCTGGTGTACGACGCGGTCAAGTACACGCTGGTGGTCGACGAGCACACGCAGCTGGAGCTGGTGAGCCTGCGGCGCTGCGCCGGCCTGGGCGGGGAGGACAGTGGCGAGGAGGACGGCTCCCCGGGCCCCGAGGGCGCCTCCCCGGACAGCCCCGACCTCACCTTCTCCAAGAAGTTCCTCAACGTCTTCGTCAACAGCACGCCTCGGTCCTCCAGTGAGTTCCAGGTGGGGCAGGGTGGCCCCAGATCCCGGGTGGTCCCCAGGCTCCAGGGCAGCCTGAGAGCCTGGGGATGGTCGCGGGGCCTGGCCCTCTTCTGCTCAGGACAAGGCCCAGGGGTGCCCCCAGTTCCCCCAGGGCCTGGGTAGGGGTGGGGAGGGCCACTCTGCCCCCCTCCCTGACTCAGGACCAGACCTCCTGGGAGGGGAAGGTGGCCAAGCCTGGAGGCCCTTCCCACACCCCTCTGAGTGGCCGTCTCCTGTCTCCGTGTCTCAGGCACGGAGTCCTTTGGCCTTTTTTCCTGTCTGGTCAACGGGGAGGAGAGAGAGCAGACCCATCGGGCCGTCTTCAGGTACAGCTCCCTCTTGTCCTCAGTCTGAAGGCGTGATGGGACACTGGGGGAACACAGGCCAGCAGCCCTCTCCCTCCCCTGACCCCACCTCTTCCCTGGCCACAGATTTATCCCTCGCCACCCTGACGAGCTAGAGCTGGATGTGGACGACCCGGTGCTGGTGGAGGCCGAGGAGGACGACTTCTGGTTCCGCGGCTTCAACATGCGCACCGGGGAGCGTGGGGTCTTCCCTGCCTTCTATGCCCACGCAGTGCCTGGCCCTGCCAAGGACCTGCTGGGTGAGGCCCCCCTCCGAGTGGCATCTTGTCACCTCAGACCCCCCCCCCCACTCCCCTGACCTGGGCTCCTTGTGACCCCCAGGGAGCAAACGGAGCCCCTGCTGGGTGGAGCGCTTCGATGTGCAGTTCCTGGGCTCTGTGGAGGTTCCCTGTCACCAGGGCAATGGCATCCTGTGTGCAGCCATGCAGAAGGTCAGTGTGGAGGTGGGGACACCCCAGCAACCAAGCACACACAGCCCCTGGAGGGGCCAGACCTCCACGGAGGCTTAGAGGGGACCTAGGTGCCTCAGGGCAGCTCTCACCCTGATTAAGAGGCCTGGGCGGAGCTTGCAGCTGTCCCCCATCACCTTGGGGTCTCTTGGCAGGTTCAGTGGGGCCTCCACCTTCCCTTAGCCCATCTTCTTGTCTGAAAATCCAGACCAGCCTCACTGAGCCGCCTTGGGGTCATCTGCTCACTCATTCATGGATTTAGTGGGCAGTTAGTTACCAGCAGCTCATCTGCCGGTCCTGTGGTTGAACAGGACAGCCCTGTCCCTGAGACCTTCCTGTCCAGGCCATGGGGTCAGGCAGGGAGGGCCTGGGTGGGGGGCCATGTTCCTGGCTATAGGGTTGGAGGGAAGACAGGGAAGAAGTCTGAGTGCAGAGAGGTTACTGGCTGGTGCTGAGACTGAGGAATGGCCAGGGCCCTGGTGCTCTCTCGTGCTCTGGAATCAGCATGGAGACCTGCAGACAAGTCTAAGATGTCCCTTCTCCTCCCGGCTTCTTCCCCCGGCTTCTCCAGATCGCCACGGCCCGGAAACTGACGGTCCACCTGCGTCCCCCTGCCTCCTGTGACCTTGAGATTTCTCTTCGGGGGGTCAAGCTGAGTCTGAGCGGTGGACCTGAGGTGGGTGGGAATGTGGGAGCCGGAGGCACAGGGAGGCTGGGGGCTCTGACAGGGATATCCAGCAGGAGTGGCAGGAGTGACCCCAGGCGACTTCAGTCTGACATCTCTGCCCCTCTGCTCTGTCCAGTTCCAGCACTGCAGCCACTTCTTCCAGATGAAGAACATCTCTTTCTGCGGCTGCCACCCTCGCAACAGCTGGTGAGAGCCTTCCCCCCAGAGCCCCCCAACCCTGAGGGCTTCCCCAGGCTCAGGAGATGCAGATCAAACAGGCTGCTATCTGGTCTGGGGCACAGGCAGGCAGGCAGGCACACAAACAAGTGAGTGCTGGAAGCATTGTGGGGTCTGGTGGACGTCTGCATGGGGCTCCAGTGAGCAGACCTGCGGAGAGGCTTGGGGTCTGGAGTTCAGGGGGCGACTAAAGATCACTCTGCCTGCTCGAAAGACAAGTTGATGATGGGTGGATCTTTCAGGGAGGCAGTTGAGCCCAGGCTGTTGGTGAGGGGCAGTAGGGGTCTCAGGGAGTAGCTAGGTGGGGCTGGAGGGACACAGGGGTACCTGTGCCCCTTTTTTAAAAAATATGTTTTTGTTGATTTCAGAGAGAAGAAGGGAGGAGAGAGAGATAGAAACATCAATGATGAGAGTCATTGATCAGCTGCCTCCTGCATGTCCCCCACTTGGGGGTTGAGCCCACAACCTGGGCCTATGTCCTGACCAGGAATTCAGTTGCGATCTCCTAGATCATAGGTTGACACTCAACCACTGAGCCATTCCGGACAGGCACCTGTGCCCTTCTGACTATGCCAAGGAGCTTATACTTGATTCCATTGGCTGTGGGGCCACAGTGTGACACAGGTTAACAAGTTGGCTCTGGCTGCTGTGCAGAATGGATGGACCTAGGTGTGGGTCAGGTAGCTACTGAGGTTATCCAGCTGCTGTGTCCTGGAGGCGTTTGGGAGGTGGGACAGGCAGGACCTGAGCTGAATGCATGTAGCAGCTGCTGTGCCATCTGGGTAATGGTTAGGTAGTAACTACTTGCCCAGTGAAGGGCTGACAGCCTGGAGACCAGTGTTCATCTGCAGGTGCAGGGAGACTGAAGCGGCCATTTATCACGCGGGTCTGGAGTGTGGGAGAGGGACCTGGAGGGAAGGTGTCAGTTCTGAGCAGGCAGATGATTGCAGCCAGGAGGGACTGAGGTAGCCAGGCAGAGTGAGAAGTGACAGGCGTGAAGGGGGAGACAGCGCCAGCATTGTCACCAGTGGGTGTGGGATACAGGCTTCCTGCCCAGCCCAACTGCTGCCCACTTAGACCCCATGTCCTAGAGGAAGGAGATGGGAGGAGGTAACCAGAGAGACGGGGCCCACCAGGGGCTCAGGAGGACTCGATGGGCTGTTGGAGGAAGGACATGATGCTGCTGGCGCTGGGCTTGTGGTAGATACCGGAGCCTGCTCTCCTTGGCCGGGTGTGGTGTCAGCCTCTGGCAGGTCAGAGCCAGTGTGGCTGCCTGACCTCTGAGAGCGGAGAGGGTGCAGTGGTATCTACCATCTGGATGCTGCTTTGAGGGGTGGAGAGCTGGACAGAGTTCCCAGGCTCAGACCAGCCTTGGGGCCAGGGGGCCAAGGACGGCACCAAGCAGAGGGGAGAAAGAACACCCTTATCTCTCAGTAGAGAGAAACTGGCTGCCCAACTTGGGCCTCCAGGCTAGACAGTGACCCAGGTGCGATTCCTGGGTTGCCAGACCAGTGGTTCCAGATCCAGATGTGGAGGCAGTGGGGGAGGGGAGACTTTTCCAATATTTGTTACTTCAGAACTCAGCCCAGACCCCGGGGTGAGGACCACTAATGAGGTCATGCTGGGCGACTGGTTAAAGTGCTTCATTGTGAGGTTGGTGGCAGAGCAGGGGTGTGGGCGTGCTGTGTTTGGATGAGGTAGCAGTGTGCCACTGGAGTTCACAGACTGCCGAAGACTGGCTGTGTGTCCTCGGGCAAGTTTCCAACCCTCTCTGTGCCGTAGCTCCCTCATCTCATGGGACTGCTGTGAGGCTCCTGTGAGTGAACAATCCAAAGTGCATGGTGCTTGGTGAGCAGCACCTAAGTGTTGGTGACTGAATGAAAGTTTTTGTTGTTGTTAATCGTCATTGAGGATATTTTTTCCATTGCTCTTTAGTGAGAGTGGAAGGGGGGGGGAGAGAGAGAGAAAGGAACACCGATGTGAGAAAGACTCATGGATTGGTTGCCTCCCACACACACCCTGACCAGGAGGTGGGGAGCAACCCTGCAACCCAGGTAGGTGCCCTTGACTGGGAATCGAACCCGCTACTGTTTGGTGCAAAGGCTGGTGCTCTAACCACTGAGCAACACCGGCCAGGGCTGAATGAGATTTTTTTAAAAACATCACCTGCAGCCGTGTGGAGCTGAATTGGTCAGGGACCTGAGACTTCAGGCAGGGAGATTTTTTTTTTTTAGTTTGTTTTTATTGATTTCAAAGAGGGGAAGGGAGAGGGAGAGAGATAGAAACATCAATGATGAGAGAGAGTCATTGACCGGCTTCCCCTGCATGCTCCCCACTGGGGATCGAGCCCCAAACCCGGGCTTGTGCCCTCACGGGGCTCAACCACTGAGCCATGCTGGCCAGGCCTGAATGAGATTTTTGACCAGGGCATTTGAAACAAGACTGTGATGTGTTCTTGGACAACATGAATATGTTGTGCTGGCCATGATACTGTCACGTGGTTCCCATCTGGAGGGACCACAGAACCCCAGTTCAACTGATGTGGATGGGATTGGCCACAGTTGGGGTGGGTCTCAAGTCTCGTGCTGCAGGACTGTCTGAACAATAATTTTCATTGGTGTCTTGGGGGAGGAGAAAAGCAGAAATGAGACAGTTGGCAGGGACTAGATGAATGACAGTGCAAGGTTCTGCTCCAGGAAGAGAGTTTTGCAGATGAGCCCCCCATTGGAGCTCAGAGAGCAGCTGTGTTTACAGGACCCCAGGTGGGGCTGGGCAGGCTCAGGGGACACAGCCAGGCATAAGTCAGCTGAGACGAGCTTCCAGAAGACGGGTGAGGCCTTGCTGTGGTCTGTGACCCAAGACTGGCTGCATGTGGGGGTCATAGCGCTGGCTCCAAGAAGGAAACAGCAGCTGGACGCCCCTGACATGGAGAAGTTAACATGGATCATAACTCCTCAGAGGTGCCTGTGCTGGGGCTGGACCTGAAAGGTGCCTTCGAATCCTTAAGTTGTGTGACCCACACACTTCTCCTGTCCCCACCCTCTGCCGGAGCCGTTGGTGGCTGCCTTTTCTGTCTAGATCACTGGGGGCCTGAGGTGCGTGGCCACCCTCTGATGCCCTGACACTGACCCCTCTGTAGCTATTTCGGCTTCATCACAAAACACCCTCTGCTGAGCCGCTTTGCCTGCCACGTCTTTGTCTCCCAGGAGTCGATGAGGCCTGTGGCCCAGAGTGTGGGGTGAGTGGGGTCAGAGGGATAAGGGTGGGACCAGCAGAGAGAGGTGGCTGGGGGCCAAGCAGGCATAAGAGTGCTTGTGGGTGAGCCAGGCGGAGAGATGGGCTGGGAGATAAGGTTTGGGGGACTTGGGGACAAGGGAGTGGGGGTGCAGAGTTTGGGCAGATGTGAGAGGGAAGGTCAGATGAGAAGCAATAAGGTGGGTGGGAACTTGGGGCAGGAAGTGGGGGGGGAGATCTTGGCAGTGGGAAGGTGCAGGCACATTGCCTAGGTGGGGTGTTGGGGTGGGAATGGAGCATGAGGCCTGTAGTGACCAAGACAGCTGAGGAGTGACCTCTGGGGGTGACAGGCAGGCCCAGGCAGGTGGGAGGGAAGCCGAGGCCAGCCCTGAGTGGTGGGTGGCTGGCGCTGTCTCCCCAGCCGCGCCTTCCTGGAGTACTACCAGGAGCACTTGGAGTATGCCTGCCCCACAGAGGACATCTACCTGGAGTAGCCGCCCACCACACTCCCGCTCCAGGTGCAGCTGGGGCTGGGGTATCCCAGAGGCCACGCGGCTTTGTCAAGGACTGGATTGGGGGCACGTGGGACCTGCTGTCCAGGGAGTCTTGGGGGCTCTCCTTGCTCAGCAGGGGCTGCGGGAAGGAGAGCCATGTCCCCCCCCCTCGTTTTCCGTCTGATCTTCTTTCTCTCTGTGTGCCTCCTCTTCTCTGTCTGTCTCTGCCCCCTGTGCCTGCAAACTCTGCCCTCTGCTCTTTTCTCTGGGGTCAGAGCTGGGAGGGGTGTGGAGGAAGGTGAGGCTCTAGGTGACGGGTGATATCAGGCTCCCAGGTGGCCCCTCCTACCCCTCCCCAGTGATTTAAAAGGAATTTTAATTTTTATAGTGAATCTCAAGGGGTCACCCCATCCTTGACCACAGGGACAAAGAGAGGGACTCCCACCCCACCCCACCCCACGCGGGGCTTGGGGGGACGCAGGGAGGTATTTCCCCAGAAGGGCCTTAGGGACACTTGGTGTGGTTCTTGAGGCTCACCCCTAGCCCCAGACTTTGCTCGGAGAAGGGTGCCCTGCCCCATGCCCCGCCACACCAGCGTCTGCTTTGCCACTGCAAACTCCCCGCCATCCAGCACCTCAATAAACTCTCTGCTTGGTGTGACCCTGTCTATTTCTGGGGGGAACACAAAATGGGCCGGGGGCCCAGGTGCTACCCATGGCAGTGGGCTCCAATACCCCCGGTTGATGGAAACACGAGGAGCCTTAGCCATCAGTACTCTCCGAAATCATGCCAGGGGTCTCTGTGGTGCCACACTGGGCCCCTGGGGATTGTTCCTGATACAGTTGATCAGCCGGAGAGATGGGGTGCTGGTTACACACATTGGAGTGCCAGGCTGGGGAGTGGGCATGCCAGGGGAGCTGCAGGGCTCAGATCAGTGTGTGTGCGTGTCATGAGTGTGTGTGGGAGAGGGCAGCGGTCAGTCTACTTAGATCTTAAAATTGGTCTTTTAAAAATTCTGCGCAGAGAACCAGAGGAAAAGAGCTGACCATTTTTCACTGTGCCCTTAGGTTTTTGTAGATGACGCTTCCTGGAGAAAGGGCTTCCTTGGCCCCTCACCCTGTGAGCCCCACTCTCAGGTGCTGAGGTCAGCAGGCTCCTCACCAGGAGGACATGTCCCCAGAGGGGGCTGGGGCTCAGAGGGACCCAGGGCTCTGCCTCAGTGTCTCCAGGAAGCGGTACCCTGTCCTTCACCGCAAACACTCAGCATCCGTCCTGCGGGTTGGCAGGGACCATGTGTCATCCCCCTCGCCTCCAGTCCACGTTTGCTGGGATTGGGTTAGTGTACAGTATAGTATTCTGTATCAGTGACCATTCTATCGTCACAACCAACCTATGGAAACTGCCTCTGGGTACTTAACCAAGAAGGAACTTATGGTGAGGGTGTCGGGGCTCCCAGAGTGGGGAAGAAGGCAAGAAAAGGGTACCTCAGAGGTTGGGGGGCAGAGGACTGGACACCCTTCCCTGCTCTGTGGGTCCCCATGCCCTAGAGATCACTTCTGGGCTGGGGCTGACTATCCCTCCTGGCAGAATTGGGTGCTCCTGAGGACAGCAGGCTCTGGACACTCAGCATCTAATGCGGCTGCTCCTTCCTTATTGCTGAGTGTTTACAAGTGATGACAGTGTTACTGCTCTTGCTGTGGAACCCTGGGCCCCGCCATCCCCAAACTGCTCCCTCGGTCAGGGCCCTGCCTGCCTGCTTAGGTGACACCCTCAACTCTCTCTACCTTGGGTCCCTTCTCCTGAGACACCTGAGGAGGGGGGCTCAGTTCTCTCTCCTCACTGTGGGGGGCATGCCTTTGGCCCCATGGCTGTGATCACCCTGTGGAGCGGTCTTCACACAAAGGGGGCTGGGGGGGGGGTCCCCTCTGCTATGACTGCTCCTGCACCAGGTCTTGGGGCAGTGTGGGGACAGGACTCACTGGACATGGGAAGGCAGCGTCCAGGGTGCAAAACAAGGATGGGATTAGAGCCGAGTTGAACACCCATGATTCGCATGGACACAGAGGTGGTGTGGTTGCACACCCCGCTCGCTGCGTTGCCTGCCTCCGACTGAGATGCGGACATTGTCTGGGGTGCTTTAACAAGCACGCACTAATTTTGTAAATGAAAACATTGGGAGAAGAGGCAAATTTAGATACTATTCCATGGAAACGTCCCCTTTTGCTCCCCCTTCTGGTCACTTGTGGGAGAGGCGAGCCTAGGAATGAGCTGGGAGGGTGCCTTGGGTCCCTTCCTGACACACCTGCAGGGACCCACAGCACCAACATGTCTGTCTGTCCGTCTGTTCCCACTTGGCTCCTTCCAGAGGACACAGGGCCTGAGGAAGCCCTGGCCTGGGGAGAGGACGATCTCAGGCTTCCAGGAAAAGGGGCTGATTTTCAAATCAACAGCAAAGAAAGGGAAGGGTGTCTGGGGCCATGATAAGAGTGTGTATAAATGTGCATGCTTGTGTGCATGTGAGTGTGGGTGTGTGCACACGCCTGTGAATGCATGTGCGCACGTGTCTGTGAATGCAGGTGTGTGCACACATCTGTGTGGGTGTGTGCATGACTGTGGGTGTGGGTGTATGGCGTGTGCACGTGTCTGTGCACACACAGAAGTGCCTGCACAAGGAGGGTGCATTGCACTAACACAGCTGAAAACAAACATCTCTGCTCCCAGAAGTATCATAGCAAAACCTAGGTGCAACGGGAGTGTGGGAAGACCCGCTTCCCTCCAACCACGGGTGCAGATGTGAGCTTGAACTCAGGGGACAAAGTCTCAGCGGACAGGGGAGCCTCCTGCCTGGTTCAGTTATCTTCCCCCCACTAGTGATTACAGTTTTGTGGGAACAAGCCCTCTTCCTCTGTGGCATTCATCACAGTTAAATTTTTATTTGTATTGAAGTATAAAATACACACGATATGATAAAGTGCACGTATCTTAAGTGTGTAGCTTGATTGCTTTTTACATGTCTGCAACCCCCAGTCAAGATGAGGAACATTGGAAGCACACAAAGGTTCCTTCATGCCCCTTCCCAGGCAGAATCCACACTCCCCACCTGCAGGCTTCTGTCACTGAAAATCCACCTGTGTCAGACCCCAGGGTCGATGCTCATCTTCTGTGCTAGATAAGGGGGCACCATGGAGCGGGGATGGGTCCCCTCTGGTGACTGTGCCCCAGCACTGTGCATGGCCCTGGGTGGCAAATAAATGTGTGAACTAACAAAGTGAAGCTCACTACCCAGGTGGGGCTGCAGGCCTGCAGAAGATGCCTGCAGGCTGTGTGGGGTGCAAGCATTCATTTAGTTCTTGCTGAGTTGTTAGTCTTGGGAAGCGATGCTCAGACTGTGCCCCTGCTTCAGTTCCTCTGTCCTTAGCCTGAAACTAAGGCACCTGGCAGGGACCCAGGCCCCACTGGAAGAGAAGCTGCAGGTGGCAGGTGGTGCGCATGACCAACCCATGAGGACCAGCGCCTCTGCTCAGACCACATGGCAGGTGGGCTCTGCTGATGCCAGCCTCAGTGGCTGTAGGGGTCCCCGAGGAAACCACCGCCCTGTAGGCGCAGCCCCAAGACACAGCAGGGTTTAGGGCATGGCCAGTGCAGCCCCCAAACCAGACCATAAGCGGTGGGAAAGTCACATGGAGAACACAAGACGTCTCTGACACACAGGACCAGTCAGGAGACCACCTGCATGTGCACAGGTGCCAGCTACACATCCTGTCCACACATCATTCCAGGAAGACTGTTTTCCACCGTGAGTAACAGATAACCTACCGGCAGCAGCTTAAACGGCAGGGTTTACTTCCTCACACTATGAGCTCTGGAGGTAGATGGTTGGAGACATGGGATTAGCAGCTGCACGATGTCCAGTCAGGCCCAGCAATGCTGTGGAACTGTCCGCTCTGCCCCCAGACGTCCCAGGGATCCCTGGGCATACTGTCCCTGACTTTTCACTGACCAGGACTCTTGTCATGCCATTCTGGATAGTCACGGGACTGACTGGCTACTGTCCTCCTGGGACAGGGGAGGCTGTACCTCCAAGGTCCAGGGCCTCTCACCACGGAAAAGGCAAGGCCTGGAAATGAGGGGATGGCTATCTGGTCTGTCAGGAGGACAGACAGCCCGCTGGGGCTGCGAGCACCCAGATGGCACTCTTCTCATTCAGTCAACACTGAGGGAGCCTGTGGGGTCCGCCTGTGCCCTGGGAGCACATGTGGCCCTGCCATTAGCACACAGGTGGGGACCCAAAAGGGCTTCACACCACTGTGCAGATATGGATACAGCTGGAGTCAGGAGGTCCTCTCTGCAGAGCCCAGGACCAGGGGACAGGCAGGTTGAGGGGCAAGGGGGTGGGGGGAAGGCCGGCCTCAGAGGGCACAGCAGCCACTCTTGAGGACTATAGATTTTATTCTGAGCCTGCAGTTCTGAGCAGGGATGGAACCAAACCTAACATGTTTTAAAGTGCATTTTGATGGGTCAGTGGCTCACACTGGGTGACAGGTGAGTCCAGGGGACAGGAATGTGTGCACAGGCTGGGATGCAGTGCTTTGGGGGGACAGAGGCGGGCCGGGTCACAGTGGAGTAGGGGCTGTCTCAGAAGCTGCTCGTGCACCTTCCTTGAATCTGGGGGCCCCCAGCCCTCTTATCTCCACCCTGAATGTGCTGCTCATCACCCACCTCACACAGGTTCTGGTAAGAGCCAAGGTGGTGTGGCCCCGGGGCCTCCAAGAAAACTGGGCTTTCTTGGGCATTCGGCACCTGCGGGGAATCTCCTGTCCATGGTGCTCTTGTACCCTCCCCACCCCATTCCTGGCACACATGGGCACTCAGTGCAGTGCCCGTGAACGGGCACACTATCACATGAGCCAGGATGCCTGGGTGCAGATCCCAGCCCAGCCTCTCACTGGCTGGGTGACCTCAGACCAGTCGCCGGATCTCTCCATACCTGTTTCCTCCTTGTATACAGGCAGAAGAACACCTGCCTCTGGCCACCACAAGGATTAGATGAATCATCACGCCTACAAGTGTCAGCTGGTGTTATTGGGTTATAAGGTACAAATGGGTCCTTGCCAGAGCCACAGCAATGGGAGGGCAGGGCTGGGGGCGGGGCCAGAGCTGGGGCAGTGCCCTCAGGCTGGGGGCCCTGGGCAGTGGCAGCAGTTAGGCCAGGGGTTGCAGCCTGGCTGGCAACACATCTGCAGGGTAGGGTCCTCACCCCTGTCCATCTGGCTGGGGCTGAAGGTTATGTCCGCATCAAACTGGGCCTTGAGCAGCTGAAGCTGCTTCACTGCCTCCATGGCCTCCGGGTTGACCTCAGACCCACTCCCCAGAAGGTTGTAGTTCTCACCAGGGTCCTCAGATAGGTCAAAGAGCAGCGGGGGCTCATGGCCAGTCAGAGGGCTGGAAGCATGACAGGCAGGATCTGCTGTGGTGTCACTGTGGGCAGAGCCTGGGGAGGGAGACACTTCTGTACATGGGACAAGAGGTGGGGCAGTCTCTGGGTCCATGAAGGGCCAGAGGGGCTCGGGGGGAGTTACCCTGGGTGAAGAAGTGGGCCTTGTACTTTCCACTCCGCACAGCAAAGACCCCACGGAGCTCATCAGGGAAGGCTGGGTAGAAGAACATAGTCTGCCGGGGGCTCTGGGGGCAAAGTCAGGGACCAAGGGGCAGAGCCCCAACACCAATCAGCTGTGTTAGGCCTTGGATGTGCCCACCTAGGAGCCCCAGAGGTAGCAGCACCTGGATGCCGCTCCACAGGGGTGACCTGCCCACGGTCACTCCTGGGGCTGGGGTTGTAGGGTTGCTGGCCCTACCTTGCCTGTGCCCAGCAGCAGGCCGCTGAGGTCAAAGCCATCCAAGGTGATGTTGGGCAGTGGGGCCCCGGCCAGGGTTGCCAGGGTGGGCAGTAGGTCCAGGGAGCTGGCCATCTCGTGCGTCACGCCTGGAAACAGAGGGCTGTGTGTTCACTCGATTCGCCATCAGGTTTAGAGAGGTAGGGCCAGGGGTCCATGAGAAGAGAGCCTGAAGACTGACCAGGAATGATGTGGCCTGGCCAGAAGGCCAAGGCAGGCTCTCGGACGCCCCCCTCGAAGGTGGTTCCTTTTCCACATCGCAGAGGGCCAGAGCAGCCGCCGTGGGACATTCGCATTGTCTCTGGTCTGGGACACACAGGTGGTTGTCAGCATCTCTGACTCGCCCCAGTGGCGCCAGCCCCAGACTTCCAAGGTTTGTGCATAGAAATGGCTAGCGGGTGCCTGTCCCCTCCCTGTCTGACCAGGACCAGCTTCATGTACTGTGGTGGCCCACCTCCCATGTGCACCTGTATGTCACCATAGCATGGCCAGCATTTTCTGAGACCTCTTTCCCACTATGTCCATGGCCAGCTGTCAAGACAGGGAAACCCCAGAACCATGCCTGTGAGGAATCGACCTGCACGCACCCACCCTGCTGGCATACCCGTTGTCTGCTGTGAAGATAACCAGTGTCTCTCTAAGAAGCCCCAGGTCTCCCACAGCAGTCATCAGGGCTCCTACAGCGGCGTCCAGTTCCATCAGGGAGTCTCCAAATGCCCCGCGGCCTGAGTGCCCGGCAAAGCTTTGTCCACTGAACTGGGGGTAGTGGGTGTGCTGGGGGCAGAGAATGGAGTTAGCATCCAGTGGGGTCAGGGCAGCCTGGGACGTGGGGTCAGGGTCACTCACGTGGGAGGCGTAGTACAGGAAGAATGGGCGGCCCTGGTGCTGGGCATCAACCATGAGGTTAAGAGCGAAAGCCACATAGCGGGCCTCAAGTCCAGGCAGCCAGGGGGGCTGCGCTTCCACAGACATGTTGGCCAACAGCGGGATAGGGACCAGGCCCTGGTCACAGATTCCATTGCAGGGGGTGGCCGGCGGGAAGCAGGTCAGGTTCTGGCAAGGGCCCTTGGGGGAACGGCTCCCTTCAGGGTCTAGGCTGTGGGGTGGGGCTGGGAGGTCAAGGGAAGGGGAGTGAGAGGAAGTGGGGAGGGGGTGGCTGAGGGCCCTGGCTGTTCCTACCTGGTCATGGGAGTATGGGATGCCCAGGAATCGATGGAAGCCCTGATGGGGGGGCAGAAAGGCCCCCCCAGGCCCCACCCCAAGATGCCACTTGCCAGCCATCCCTGTGAGGTAGCCTTCGGCGGCCAGGATCTCAGCCAGGGTCACCTCCTCCAGGGGCAGGCCCCCTCGGGAGTCAGGCTCCAGAACTCCAGGGTACAGGCCCATCCGAACTGGGAATCGGCCAGTCAGGAGGGCAGCCCTGCAGAGCAGGCCACAGAGCCCGTAAGACAAAGAAATGAAGACGGAGGCGCACACAGGAGACGGTGGAGAACCACGACACCCTCACCGCAATCCAGAGGGGACCAGGAGGAGCTGGACGGCCAGGCTGGGCACTGGGTGGGGCTCCCCTGCCCCTCTGCTCACCGGGAGGGTGTGCACAGAGACACCGGCACGTAGAAGTCTGTGAACCGCAGCCCCGCTGCCGCCAGCTGGTCCAGGTTGGGGGTGTTGGAACTGGGGTGGCCGTAGGAGCCCAAGTCCCCATAGCCCAGGTCATCAGCAAGGATCAGCACTATGTTGGGTGGCTTGGCAGTGGCCAGGCCAGCGGCCAAGGCCAGAGCAAGGGCCCACGGCACGGCCATGGCACACGCGCCGGCTTGTCTCCAGAGACCTTTGGGGAGGAAGCACACTGGCTCCAGCGAGCCCGAGGCCCAGACCAGTGACCCCAAGTCGGGCGGAGACAACCCCCCTCCCGGAGTCCTGATGGGCTCGGCAACCGGAGGGCCCCGACCGCGGCCGGGCCGGGCTCCCTGGAGACCCCCTGGACGGGACTCCTGGACCCCCGTCAGGCGCTGACCCTCCCCTCCGGGGCCCCGGCCCCGGCTCGCGGTCAGCGGCAGGAGTCCCAGGACACTGACCCGGGGGTCCGGCGCTGCGAGAGGGAGCGGGACGGAGCGGAGCCGGGCAGGGTCCGGACAGCGGGTAGCGAGGCCCCCGCGGGC